TCGGGTGTGGGATGCTTAGGGGAACATTAATCCCTCTCCAGATGATAATACACCCAATGACAATAATTCAATACAATGCCCCACACCTCCTAAAAAAATACACGCCCCCAAAATGTGGGCCCATCAGGACCCCAAGGGATGCGTTGAGGATTAGGGCCTATGAGGGAGTACAAAGGGATTTTTTGGGGAAATAGACTAGCATACGCCTCATCGTCACCCGTAACGGGTCTTCGCATAGAAGCCTTGATCGAATCCAAGATGTTTATATCATTCATGTAACCCTTTTTTATGATAACGGGGTTTAGGATATAGGGTTCAGGGATATGTGAGACAGACCATGTTCTCAATGCCTGAAGCCCTAAGCTTCATAAGTAAGTGCCATCCCCTGAACCTTCAAGTAGACCTTAGAGCACTTGAAGCCGCAACTGGCCAGCTGAATTCCCAAACCCGACACCGCTCTTCACATGCATCATCTGTGGAGGACTGGCTAAGCTCAGCAATACCTTATAGTCCCCTCAACTTAAGTAGATAGAATATGGCTTAGGGTATAATAATAAGATCCACATATATCCCATATTCGATCTACTTAACGGCGACTATAAACCCGAAACCCTAAAGAACCGCAGGTACCCACAACTGCAAGCCCTGACCCCAGATTGCCAAGCTGACCTTCAGCGTCCACGCGCCCAACATTCGGGCTTGGGACTATGCGGCTTTGGCAAGCGTAGATGTAGTGCGTATAGGCTTGGTAAAGCACATTGGTGTTTGGGCTATTTTGGGCTCTAGCCTTACACCCGTACCCCAAGCCCCCAAACCTCCAAAACCCCGGAGCCCTAAAGCCCTAGGTCGTGAAGCCTACGACATTCTGCCAGGTGTCCCGCTCCACCGTCTTTAGGATGGTATGGATTACGGGCCTGTTGCTGTAGTCTCGAAGCAAAAGTTGGAGGGGTTCCAAAGTTTGAGGGTCCCTCTTCTGGAATCTCCGTCATGAGGTGTAGAAGAGTTGAGGAGACATGAGATATGAGGAGATGTGAGATACAAGGTGCCTTCTTCGGAAGTGGCCACATAGGACCCATGACTACAGTGGCGAAATCGGTGACTGATATAGGATTGGGGCGACAGCGAGAGCAAAACCTGGGTTTTGGCCCTATATTGTAGCATATTGTTCGGTCTGCATCGTAGGCCCAAGTCCCCCGCAGTGTAAGGCAGGCCATACCATTTTGCCATACTCCAGGCTTGCCTGGACATGTTGCCTCAGTTCTCCCAGAGGTTCACGCAGGGATGTGAAGGCCTGTGTGCGATGAGGAAGCCGGCTACCTTTTCAAGAATGCACACGGATGCCATCAAATCCTACGGGTTGCACTGCACGACTGCATGCAGGCGGGGCGGTACTGTCTGTTGATACTGAGAAACCTGCATGACATTATTATACCATACTATACCACAAAAGAATTCCACAAGATCTAAGGTCATTTACTGATAATCATGCAAGATTTTTAGTATCCACCGTGTTGAATGCGCTCCTAGCACAACCGCGGCTATTGCCATGCTTCTCAAAACTACTACTGTTGATGGAGGCAGGAAACCTTTCTGCACTTAAAGCTTAGACCCTAAAACCTAAACCCTAAATCCTAGACCCTAGAACCTAAGCCCTGAATCCGAGACCCGAGAACCTAAACCCTAAATCCTAGACCCTAAATCCTCGACCCTAGGTAGGAAGCAACCTGCAGGCACCCCTTCACAACAAATCCCCTCTCCCAGAATGGGTCGCTGGACTCTGGTGGGAAGCCCCTGGTTTAGGGTTAAGGGGGGTAGCTCCCCAAAAGGTTTATACACGCGCATCGCACAACAGTGCAGGCACGGCAATGTTTTGGGTTAGGGTCTATAGGGTTTAGGATGGCGCAGGCTTCTTAAACTGATATAAGCTATAATCTAAACTCCTGGTATCCCCCTTCAAAACCCCTTATAGTAGTCCCCTATATGATCCACTACATTAGCCCCTTTAAGCAGTTTAGAGTCTCCTATAGCAGTGTAACATGAAACTGGGCCTGCTAGATGGTCTGACATCGCAAGGGCAGTTGCTTCCTGATATCAAGGTTTAGGGTTTAGGGTTTAGGGCCCACTCCTTGCTTCAACCCTGATTCCAAGGACTTTAGGAGGGACCCCTAATAGGGACCCTTGTAGCTTATGGGGGTTAATATGGGGACTACCCAGGGATATAGGGGTTATATACTGACTACTATTTAAGGGTTATACATGGTAATGGGATTAAGGGTCCCCATTAGGGATCCCTCCTAAAGTCCCGAGAGATAAACCCCACGAAAGACGTGCTTTATCTTAGCGAGTTATCCTCTTAAACCCTAAACCCCATCTTCTTTTTCAAGAACTTGCCGGCTGCGGCTAGTTCCGCCCCCTCCTGGTCTCACGGAGTGCGGAAAAACTAGCAGCCATCTCTACGTTCTTTGGCCTGCCTTTCCCTGCATGGCTGTCTTTTACCACCAGGGCATAAGAGGCCAAACGAACTGGCAAGATCAATGTCCTCCTACACAAGAACCTGCTGGCTGTGAGTAATTCGGGAATGGCAGCATGAAAAGCAAATCTGAAACTACCACGTATATAGGGGCTGTGTCACGGCTACTGCGCTATAGGGGTTCATTGCTGCATTGCCTACTAAGAACCAGTAAGTCATTGTCCCCTCCCCCCAATACTAACACCTGCTTACTAGACACAGCTAGCAGGTAACATATCAACCTCAAACCCATGAACAGGCTATCATTCTACATACGTTTGGGGCCAGGCACGGCTTGCTACCAATGATTCTTACGATTCTACGCGTTTTCCAAGGCCCTGAGCCCTGAACTCTTCAACCCTGAGCCCTTCAACCCTCTCCCCTGCAAACCTAAACCCTCCAAAACTTAACCCCAAAACCCCGGCCCTAAACACCCTAAACCCTAAACCTTTCAATCTTCAAACCCTGTAGCTGCCCAGGGCCTGCAGCGATCGATAATCTCTGACTGCTGAGCCGCCTCCCATGATGTTAAGGGTTTAGGGTTAAAGATTTAGGGATTAAGGTCTGGGGTTAGGATATACAGAAATATGGGGTTCTATCAGGATGTATAAACGGAGACCACCCTCATGGAGAACGACATGGAAAGTAGGGTGATATGTGGATTCCATAGCGATATATCGCAGGGAATGGAAAATGGAAACTACTCCGTTATTCAGGGTTCAGGGTTTAGGGGGAAGAAAAGGGGCCATATAGTAGGGAATGGGAGAGAAACTCAAAACTGTGATATTATTTAGGATTTGGGGTTTGGGGGTAAAAAAACAAGAGCTGAAACTACTCTGTCCCTGAAGCCTAAACCACTTTAGGCTTAGGGCTGAGCCGCCTGCCACGATGCGGTTTAGGGTTTAGGGTTTGGGGCTTACAGACGTGCAGGCAAGGCTTGAAGTTGAAGGTGTGCAGTGTTTAAAGTTTTGGGTGTTGTGGTTTACAGGTCCGGATTGTATGAGGTTGAGGTTATGTAGGGCCATATAGGAATGATAAGAACAAGTAGGGACTATATGGAGCTAAAAAAATTTTGTCTGGAATGCATAGCTATGTACATATTACTTTAAATGGGAACGATTGAAACTTCTGATTGCATATGGCATATGGGTTTGTAGGGCTCAGTGCTGGTTGAACCATGTGAGATTATATGCTTCTTGCAATCAGCCACAGCCCGAAGGAAAATGCAATCTAACCCTACGTACATTGTCGACTGTAGAACCCTAGGCCCTAAACCCTACATTAGCGGCTGTAGGACCCGAAAAGAAAGAGATACTCATGCTGGGGTCAAGGTAGCATAAAGGGTTTAGGGTGCAATTCCAAGGAAACCCTATCTAATTGACTATACACCCTTAACCCTATGCAGATCAGACTCAGCTACTGGGTCTGGACTTGACAAAGCAAAATCGGGGTAGCAGCTTAGGGTTTAGAATTTTTGGTGGCTGAACCCAGTGAAACCATATTACTCTTATAAAATTGGGTCCTTGTGGGGTGGATCACGCTGTACACCCAAGCTTGCCACATGGATCAGAGCCTCCCTTTCTGTTTTATTGAACCTTTTCTCCTAAGATAGTTCTGGGGAGATACCGATTAGGTACGGCCCTATAGCAAGCTCTGTCACTCGCTAACATCTCAACTTCCTCCACCAATACATCCATCCACCATCAACCTGGACATTTGGGACCCAAAGCCTAGGGTTACAAACATTAAGGGTACAAACTCAAAGTCTTTGGTCAATAACATGTGAGGCCTACGAGCTGTGACTTGCCTACCAATGGCGGGCACCATGGTGAAGCTCCAAAAGCTACTGGGTTGCACTGGGTTCAGCCGCCCAAAATGCTAAACCCTAAAAACCCTAAATCCTAAACCCTAAGCACTGCAACATAATAGGCAGGCTTAATTTGCCACTTCCATTGCAAGCCTCAGTATCGGAATGCACATTCAATTGCCCTTGAACCCGTGTTTGCAAAATAATCCGCACTGCAATGCTCTCACCTTTCGTTAGCTAGGAATGGAGGAGAGGATCCGTATAATAGGCCCTGCATAACTCATAGTTTCCACTCACTTTTCCATTCCTGCATTCCCGGCTTACCAAAGGTAAGTACTGGGCGACAGTGCTCAACCATCTTGATGGAGGAAATCTTGCGCCACCGCATATGAACTGTAGTCGTAACTTAACTCCTTAAAGGGGGGATTAGAAAGGGGATTTATTGTAGGAGCATTGTAAGGGTCCTTAAGACGGATACTAGGAGTTTAGACTATACTGCACATACCAGGAGCCTCCCTGTATCCTTGAATAGGGGTAGATATTCCTAGTAGTGCATATTTAGGCTAAAGTAGAAGGCAAGAGGAGGGTCTAGGTACCCTATACCAAAATAGTTGTAGGATTTTCGTGGATCCTAAGTAGTGCAAGATGTCCTCCAGCCACCGCAGGAAACTACCATATCTCAGCCTGAAGCTTGTTATCCTCCGTGGCGGCACCTGACCAGCAGACATGTTGGCCCTCAAAGTAGATAAAATAATGCCCCCAAACTTACTGGATTGCTGTTAAGGAACTTAAATTAAGGTACCAAAATTGCTATATATAGTAGTTAATATGTTTCCCTAATATAGTAATTTAACTTAAGTTCAGCAACCCAGTGGAATAATGCCCCACAACCTTATTCAAACAAGCTGGCAAGGCTGTTGTTCTACATACTTTGGGGATTCAAGGGGTTGAGATGTTGCGCTGCTGCTTGACAAGCTTCTGACAAGCACGTAGCAACATGATTGGATATGCTGTGGGTGTCCGTGTCTTGATATCCCTGGCAGTTTGCGATGAGGATGGCTCCTCTTTGATACGTAGCTCAGCGGCACTGGCCCGAATGCTGAACCCTAAGGCTCCAAGGACCCAAATAATAGGGTTATAGGGCCCAAATACCATTAATAGTACATTATTTGGGCCCTATAACCCTATTATTCAGGTCCTTGGACCCTTAGGGTAATATTCGTGAATGACTGTGTCTCAGACCGAGCCCTGCACCCAAGACCACCGCCTAAGCTTGATAAGAAAGGTTGTCGTCAATAAGATTGGCGCATCCTAACCCAGGCTTTCCCCTACCACACGCCGAAGCAAATAGATTCCATGTAACAGATTTCCAGAGCATGATAGAACAGGGTGGGCCTGAATTTTGAAATTCCCACGCCTGGCCTGTGCTCTCTATCTGAGCATTGAGATCCGTCAGCGCCAACACCCGCTTCTTGTCACCTGAGACATGGCTTCCGGCTTGTTTCTCTCCGAAGCCCGGGTTTAGGGTTTACCTGGAGCCGAAGTAGGTAAAATAATAGCCCCAAACCCCTGAACATAGCCAAAAAGGCCAGTCTAAATCCTAAACCCTAAATACTATAGCTTCCATTTTCTTTTCCATTGTTCTACATCCTTTTGGATTTCAGGTAGGGTTTAGGGAAGCCCTCTGCATCTTAGACCCCTTCCATCGTACCGTCTGGTCACCCCGGGCGTGGCCTCTAGCCGTCCTACCGTAGCAGGAACCCAACCGACTCACCATAGGGCCTATAAAAACAGGGCCCCGCTTTGGGAGTCCCTGGAATAAGGATTATAGTAAGTTGAGGTCTATATGCAGACTCCCTATTTCTGGAAACCTCTTTACAAAGACGACTGGAGGAATCCATTCAGCCCACCCCAGGTAGTCAAGCCCAAGAACTCTCAGCTTCGATCTCTTGCTGGTTGGCCAGCTGGTCCTAGGGTTTGGGGTTTGAGGTTTAGGGCTTTGACACAAGAATGATGATCGAACAACAAAAACTCTTGTTGAGGGCAATAAAACTGCGAGCCCGTAAGGAGAGCTAAAGCTGTACCTCTCGTGGGAAGCTAAACAGCGCTGCAAGCGCTTACGCTTTTCGGGCTTTACCCTGCAAGCGACTCAAAAAGCTCTATGACGGACTCATGTCAGGACCCCTTCTAAGCTTAAGAGGCACACTATCCAGGAATCCCCAGGGCTCCTAAAGGCCCGTACTTGAGAAACTCCTCGATCCGGAAGAGGGACTGCTTGGAGGTTCAAGGTATGTACTGATGCATTGACCTAATTAAAGCCATATTAGGCGACTTAGGAGGCTCATACTGTAATTGTTTAAAGACATCTATACTTGGGTTAAAAATTCCCATAATCCGTAGACCCTAAACCCTACATGTCCTTATAAGCCCTTGGAAGGGCCCTATTTAACCCGCATCATTGCAAAGGTCTCTCCATGATGATAGGACTGTCCAAAGACCCCTACATCTCCGCAGCACTGGCACTGCGAAGTTCTGTGAGCGACCCTCTCCCAAACGAACAGGGAACCGCAGAAAGCCCCTTGGGGTCATGCTAGAAAAGAAATGAAACATAATGTCTAAGTTATTCTAGGGGTCCATGTACTGAAGAATTGGGCACTTGGTATCTAGGTACAAGTAATTCTAGTAAAGGTTTTGGGGTAAGTATATGATTATTGGGACCCTAAACCCTAAACTCAAACCCCAAACCTTCTCTCTCTCTCCTAAACCCCAAAACCTTGAGGGTTAGCTTGGGGGGACATCGCACCCTGAGTCCTTCAGCTGGCGGTTCTGTTTATCCAGGGACTCGATCTCTCGGTTGAGGGCGTTCACCTTACGGAGCTTTGGCTTAGGTGGACCTTATTCCCTATGTAGGGCTATCTAGATACATGGGCAAATATAGATATATAGGGTTATATCAGGATATATAGGGATATATAGGGAGAATGGAAATGAAAATGGAAGCTACTATTTAGGGTTGTGGGGTTCAGGGTTTAGGGTTATGGCGTAGGTGGACCCCCCACCCAGTAATAGTAACGATACGGGATAATAAGGGTCATATTAGGGTCCTCTTGTATTCCTATTATGCCGCTATTACTGGGTGGTCCTCGCCTCCTAAACTATGGCTGGGCAATCTTAAACTTTCTGGTTCTTACGTAGTATATGGGAGTATCATTTCACATCCCTCCAAAAGTACCCCTCTAGGGTTTGAGTAACGAGGACCGAAAAGGGCTGGATGAAGAAAGGCCGAATTGGATTCTAAACCTGGCCCCTCCTAGTGGGGAAGAAAGAAGCCATGGAAGCTACAAAAACACAATTTGGGGGTGGGGCTCAAGGTGTAGAGTTATAAGAAATGAAGGAATAGGAAAAGAGGACCTAAACCGGCCCTAAACACTAGACCGCATGGCAACGGATCCCCCTTTAGAGACTACTACAAGGATCCATGCCTCCGCTGACGACGACTACCAATAAGTTAATCCAGGGGAAAACATCGGCATGGTCAAGGCTGCAAGGTTCAAGAATTTCCGACCACTGGTGGAGGGAAATGCACAAAGTGGTCAAGTCCAGGATGTGAAGTTTGAAAGTACGTAATCTCAGTCTTTGGGTGTTTAGCCAGCTCCCTCCGGCAAAAGGCTTCTAAGAAATGCAGCGTGGAATTTCTTGACTCGGAGAGGACCCGCCCCAGTGCTGCACAAACCTTCCGGCTTCAATGAACCCAGTTCGCCTAAACCCTAAACCCTAAACCCTAAACCGCATGGCACATCATATTGATGCAACTCAAGTCTTCACGACACGGTACCTAATCGCAGCATGGGCTTGGATTTGTGTAGCCCTATACTTCCACCAAACTTCCGTCTAAAGCCAAACCACCCGGGAGGGCGCCACTTCAATTGCCTCTCTAGCCTCACCCCTATGTGGGGGGGGCGGGGCATCTGAAACTGCTTGCATTATGCAAATTCAGAAGTCAGCATTCGGCATCTAAACAATTTAAAATGGCGTGCCTAATGTTCACCGCATATCATGTGGGCAAAGGGCGTATGTCAGCAAACTGAAGTTTCGCTGCTCCAGCGCCACGAAGATCTTGACCTCAATATGTGCCAAGCCTTTTCTGTGGGGGCATTTGTGTTTAACGCCTTCCTGGAGGCATATTTTAATACTCTGAGTGAGGAGAATGCCCTACCCAAGAGGGCTGCATTCGCAATCCGGGACGAGCATTACGCAAGTCAGGATGGCTTTGAACGTAGTCCTGTCTTCTGAGCCTAGAGCCACCACCACAAAACATCAATGCAACCAGTCTTCCGCAAACCAGAAACCTCGAAACCTGGTTTGTATGCACCCATACACTGCTGTACGCGGCATCGCAGCAGTTCGGACTTGACAGTACTGGCATGGATTGTTTATCCGGGCTTCACGGTAAGGGCGCGGATTGATTGCGTGTGGTTTGTTGGGTGACAGATGGTAGCTTTCATAAATAGATGGTAGTTTTCATAAATAAGGGGCCCCAATATAGACCCCAAAATACCATAATCTTTGTTATAGGTAACCCCAAAAATGTACCCCTAATTTTGGGAAGACCCCAGATACGCGCACATCTCTTTTAGGTGCGGCACGATCTCCTCAATGTCGGAGATCCCGGTGGTGGACTTGATGGTGGCAAAGGCCTGGGAAGTCTGCTGTTGGGGCGGGTTCAGGGGTTCAGGGCTGCCGCCCAACAAAGGGGGTCCATGCAAAGAAAGGGTCCTCTAAACAAAGCCAGGTTTTGGAGCATAGCGAAAATGACACTCGCTCTGTCTCTCTCTCTCGCTCTCTCCCCATCTGTGTGCATGCCAGTGGCTTCCTTCATGACTTTCCCAGGGACTACTGCCATAGCTAAAAGACTTGGCTATAGCTGTTCCTGCACGGGTACTGCCTTAACTCAGGACACCCAGCCTGCTCGAAGACTTCGATATTCTTCTGGTGCTGGCGGATATGCCTCCAAGACCCAGACTTTGCCATATTCCAAACGAAAAATCTGCTACAGATTTGCAGATATTGGCATGCAGATCCTGGGCTTCAGCTCTACAATATCAACTCGCACAGAGTATGCTTCCAATCGCCGACCTCCAACCCAATAGCATATAGTGCCTTTTCAACTTGCCACGAGGAGACTGAAACTTCAACAAAGGCATGGTCCTCAGCATAAGCATCTGACACACAAGACAGCGGCTACATCCCGGGCAAGACACAGACAGATAAACAAAAACACTGTCACTCGCGTAGCTACACTCGGAGCTCAAGGAACCAGAAATACAGGACTGACCCGCATGAGGTAGGATCTGGATTCACGCCCATTCCCTGGTCCTCGCTTGCACAGCCAAACATTTACATGTAAAAGCGCCTGTGTGTGGAAGGACACCATGTCAAGCCAATTACAGCCAAACGATACCTGCCCCTCCTCCCCAACAGTATCCAACAATATTAACAGAGCTCGAAACACAAATATGTGGAATGTCTGCCCTAATCCCCTTATTGCATCGGGGTTCGCACACAGCCAGAATACAAGAAGCTACCTCTATCTCATGTTGTTCACAAAATTAGGGCCCCTAGACCCTAAACCCCTAAACCCTAAACAGTTGTGGAATAGGGATCCCGGAGCTCTGCTGCATAATGGGGTTTTTTGGGGACAATGAAGGGGTATATCGGCTTTAGGGTTTTTTAGGGAATATGTAGGGGGTATATTGGGGTCATGGGAAAGAAAATGGAAACTACCATAGTACACATGTATATGTTTTAGTCTAAGGTTTATGCCGAAACATTTACCAAAGCCTAGAAGCCCAGAACCCACGTAACCGCAAACCCAAAGCCTTCTCTGGATGGCGTTCAAGAAAGCAAGCCTGAGCTCTCCAGTTGCCAGTTGGGCAACTCCGCCCTACACCCTAAACTTGTTCATAGTGAGTTTTTTGGATTGTAACGGGTTATCTACGGGTGGACTGAGGTTCTAAACAAGGGTCTAGGAAGGACGAGATTCCTGATTGTTCAGGCTTCTACATGTCTTCGTGGTTGAACCCAGAAAGTACCCCACCACCCGAACCGCAGACTAAGTCTGTAAGTTGTGGATAGGCAACTTGAGAATTCGCCGCATGACCAACGTGGAGTTGAAGTGCTCCTCCTCATCGGCCTTGACCAAGCTAACTTGAAGGTTGTAGATGTGTAGTGCGCGGCTTAAGCTTCGGGGTCTGGAAACTGGGACTGCTTGGGTTGCTGTCAAGGAACTGAATTCAAGCTACTATATTGGATTGGGGAAGCCATAACAATTATTATATGTTCTCACTCCGGTAACTTAATGTAAGTTCCTTAACAGCAACCCAGTTCAGGGCTTAGTACTTAGTGTGTGGGGAGTGAAAGTTCGGGTTTGGAGTTCCGTGGGTTTAAGGGTTTGGCTTCATAGTCTAGGGTTTTGATGGAGCTCAGAGTGTACAAGTGCTAGAGAAATCCTACGGCAGGCGGAAGCTATCAGCCACCAAGCGGGAGAATTGGTTGGGTCAATCCTCCAATGGGTACCACAGGGATTATTGTAGGTATATTAAGGCCTTATCAAGTCCATATTAAGGAGCTATTACAATAAGGGGCAGAAGTTCCCAAGCCCTAAACCCTGCAGCTGCTTACAAGTAATTCTTGACCATCTTCGAACTACAAAAAGAGCACGAGGGCCCTCCATGTACCCTTGAATAAGTGTATATGGTCCTTAATCACGGGTATTTACCGTATAATAGAGGGTGGGTACAGACCCGCATAGATCTCTGCCTACCAAAGCCATATTGCCTCCACTTGTAACTAGTCCCCTCCCCTCACGTCACCCCCCCCCCCCATGTCCCTCATACCAAACTTAAAAAATCCATCAAGGTAAATTCAAGAAACTTGGAAATACTGCGTATTAGGGGGGGTGCAAGGTTTAAACTCGTTAGGGGGTGGGGATTGTTCCTGAACCTTCAAGTGGGTTTAGGGCATTGTAGACCCTAAACCCTAAACCCCTAAACCCTGAACCCTCAACCCTAAAATATCCTAGAATTTCCCCTAAGACCTTTCAAAGCGCCCAGCCTTGAGACTTTTGGTCTTGCTCCCCTTGCCATCGCCATCCTCCTTCTTATCCGAGTCCTGTAGATGCGGGAGGGGGCTTGAATGGAGACCATAGGGGCTTAGGATTTGGAGTTTGGGGTCTAGGGTTTTGGGTTCACCAAAAAGACTATGGTCCCTGTTGTAAGGACACCCCAAAAAGGGACCTGGAAGTTTGCGGAAAGCCCCTGAGAAGTATGGATCCGACGCTTCCAGTTCAACCATCCAGCTTAGTGATCCTGGGAGTTGGTAGCCGGTTTAGGGTTTAGGGTTTAGGGTTTAAGGGGAAGAACCCTAAACCCTGAAGCCCCCAGATAGGACACCTACAATGTGCTTAGGAGGGAGCCTAGAGATTACGCAGAGGGTCTGTGCAATCTGGGGGTTCCTAGGGGATCTTAGGGTTTAGGGTTTAGGGTTGAGTTGATGGTAACAGTAGGACAAGAAATGACAGAGCCATAGGATAGCTTCCTCGAACCCATTCGTCAATGCGTCTGTCTCATGAAGATCCCTACAGCCAATCACTCCCACAAAAACTGTAGTACAGCCGGCACATCCTCTCCCTGTCCTTCTCGTACACCTAAACTCTGAAGCTCCCAGAGTATCCCATCAAATGCGCCATCATATGCAGATGCCTGATACAAAGTGCACCTGCATAGAGGATGGAACTTTCGCAAGTTCTACAGAACCAGGCATTTGTTTCCCATCGATCTCTTGTGAAAACGCCGTGATAGGACCGAACTAAAGTGAATCTCACCCTAAACCCTAAATGTAGACCCCTAGTAAATAACCCCCCTCCCCTTCACGTGGATGATAACAAGGATCCTAGCACTAAGGTCCTTAAAAGGAGGAGTTTACTCATCAGGTGTCTACATTGAACCAGAAAGCGTCCTTGACCATCTGAACTCGTTGAGTGAGCTCCTCCCGCTCCTTCTGCTTGTACTTCTCCTGGAGCCTGGGTGGTAATTAGGCTTTTACACCAAGAAATGGCTGTAGAGTTTAGTGGGGCTGGGGTTCAGGGAGTCAAATACGTGGAAACATTAGTATTGCCTCCAAAACTGGAGAAGTACATTGAGGAACATGGAAAACGAACGGCAAACGACTGTTTAGGGTTTAGGTTTACGAATCGGTGCTTTGGGTTCCTGGACGTCCGCCTAAGTAGTTCGTGTTGCCAAAGCGGCAGAAACTTGCACAACGACCCGTTTTTTTCTAGAGGACCCCAAAACATCGACCTTCGAGAGAGAACCCCAATCGGTAGAAGCCAACAACCTGGAAAACCCCTACCAAAGACACAGGGAAGATGGTGGGTTTTGCCCTACATCCCTGCAAACCCTTAAACCTTAAGGGCTTGGGGTTGAGGTTTATCAACTGACCGCTGAAGCCCTAAGCCACAACCCCACGATCATATGGGGACTACCAAATAATAGGGTTTTAGGGCCCAAATACCATTTATAGTATATTATTTGGGCCCTAAAGCCCCATTATTCAGCCCCTTGGACCCTTAGGGTAAGCGTCCCTTGCTTCATTCCCTATCAAGCCTTTTACCTTGCACCTTAAACCCGAAACAATCCCGAAACACGTTTAGGGTTTAGGGCTTAGGGGCTCTAACTTTCATGGCACACCTACCAACCAGCAAAGGATTGGTTTTCCCTTAAGCCCTAAGATATGCTAAGCAATCGGTAAACCTACCCTCTGGCCTGTAAACTAACCCACCACCCCCCAACCTCTAACATCAAACGTTCCTAAATTATCGCCGTATACCAACAGTGGAATTTCTAATAATAGGGGGCGGGGTTTTAATCTGGCATTAGGGGGAGATACTTCCTATGTAACCTCTATAACCCTGGTTTCCATTTGATTTTTCGGCCTGCTTTTGAATGCGCCTTTCTATTTTAAGAGGATAACGGTGGGGTTTTAACGAGGGGGCGGGAAGCAAACCCTAGACCCTAGAACCCTAAAACCCTGAAACC